ACTATAAAACATATACACAATAGAAATTTTAAAAAGATGAAGTAATTAAATTTAAAATTTTCCATTGAAGTTCAAAATAAGGACAATGTAACTAGTTATTTGTTATTTGGGACTGTCTTGGTTTAACACTGTAACATGGCCATTGAGTTTGATATTTTCTCAATAGGCTTTATTTTTTTTAAATAGTGTGGTTAGACTTACAGAAAAATGGAGGAGATAGTAAAGAGTTCTTATATACCCTGCACCCAGTTTTCCCTATTTTTAACATCTTACATTAATATGGTACATTTTTACACTTAATAACCAATATTGAGACATTATTAACTAAAGTCAAGGTTATTCAGACCTCCTTTACTCTAATGTCTTTTTCAGTTCCAGGATCCCATCCAGGACATTACCTTACATTCAGCTCTCATGTCTCCTTAGGCTCCTCTTGACTGTGAGAATTTCTCAGACTTTTTTTGTTTTTGATGACCTTGGCAGTTTTGAAGAGTGCTAGTCAATTATTATGTAGGATGCCTCTCTAATGGAATGTGTAATTTGTCTGATGTTTTTCTCATAATTATACTGGGGCTACGGTTTGGGGGAAGATCAAAGAAGGGCAGTGCCATTTTCATCAGATTACATCAAGGTTACAATCTATTAACATGACTTTTCACTGTACTCAGGTCTCATGTTGAGTTGGGGGCAAATGGATAAACGTTCAGTCTCTTTTGAGAAACCAAAAGCTGTTTCTCAAAAGTAGAGTCGTTACCCACAGAGGACGGCAGGACTTTGCTTCAAAATCCTGAGGGTGTGCAGTGTGATTCCCTATTGGGGCTTGTCAAAGACTACAAATAGCAGCTCTTTGCACCACTGCCACTTCAAGCACCATTAAATCTGTTGGATTGTATGACCCAAGTGGCAGAGCAGCTGGACCTGTTATAATTTTCTCTTCTCTCACTAGCTGTTGTGCCTCTTTTTAAGTAGTAGGAGGGGCCAGATGGAACAACTTACCCCTTTCCTTGACATACTCCACACTACTGGGTTCCCAGAAATTTCACTGAATTAGAAGGCCCTTGAATTTGAGCGGATTTGGTTCCCATCCTCTAGTATGCAAATATCTTACCAGTATGTGTACAGTAATTGCTATTTCCCGTTTGCCAGGACAAATCAGCATACCATCATCAATATAACAGACCCGTGTGATGTTCTGTGGAAGGGGGAGAGGGATGAAAATCCCTGCAGCCTAAATTATGACATAGGGCTGAAGAGTTGCTCTATCCTGTGTTTGGACAGTGAGAATGTATTGCTTGCTTTGCCGGTTGAATTAAATTCCTTCTGGCAGTCTTTTTCAACAAGTGTAGAGGGAAAAGGCATTTGCCAGATCAATAGCTGTATACCAGGTACTAGGAAATGTACTGATTTACTCAAGCAACAAAACCACATCTGGAAAAGCAGTGTAACTGGAGTCACCACATAATCAGATTTATAAAAATCTACTGTCATTATCCAAGATCCAGCTGTCCTATGCACATGCCAAATAGGTGAGCTGAAAAGGTATGTGGTTGATACCACAACCTCTGCAACGTTCAGATCCTTGGTGGTGGCGCTACTCTTTACAATTCCTCCAAGAATGTGGTATTGCTTTTGGTTTACATTTTTACAGGTAGAAACAGTTCTAGTGCCTTCCATTCAGTCTTTCCTATCATAACAGCCTTCACTTTACAGGTCAGGTACCAATGTGGGGATTCTGCTAGTTGCTGAGCATGCCTATTTTAATCATGCATCCTCGAACTGGGGAAATAACCACAGGATGTGTTCCAGAAACCCACTGGGCCTACTGTGAGATGAACCTGAGCTAAAATACCATTGATCTCTTGACCTCCCTAAGTCCCTACTGTTAGGTAGATACAGTGATGTTTTGGGTTTCCACGAATTAGTAGTGTCTACTAATCCCCCCAAAGTCTGATTTCCTTTCCCCCAATGCACAGTTGCCCTGGTAGATGGCCATAGGACATTTTAGGGAAGGCTGGGGAAGAGATTGACAATATACATTTTTGGCAATGTAGCAGGGTACTTCCTCAAGAGGACCTGCCTCCCCTTCATTCAGAGAATGCTGGGGTATAAACTGGCTCAAGTCTGTGAATTGTCAGACATTTCTGATTACTGCTTTAGTTCAACTGTCCGTTGCAGTAACCACATCCACCTAGATTTTGGCAATTAAGTGCAACCCTTGGTTCCTGACACTGTGGGATCCCATAATTCTCACTGCTTTTAGGAATCCCAGTTTGATGATAGCAGTTTCCATTTTAAGATATATCTGACTAGAGAGAAAAGCAGTTGTGTATTTCTTCAAGGATGCTAAGGCTCCCATAACAAATTCATTTCTCATAGTCATGGTGAAGGGTAATGTCCTCGGGACCCTCCTGAGGTGAGTGAGCAGGTCTTAACATGAAAAATCCACTCCAATATTGCAATCTTCCTATGACTTTTGATAGCTTCCTCTACAGTATCCTAGGCAGTTCTGGCACTTTAGTGTAGACACTTTTGGGTGGATGGAAGTCAAGTGATGAAAGGAGTTTTCACTCAGGTTCTTCTCACAGTGGGCCCAGTGGGTCCCCAAAGCCATCTTGTGGTTAACTTCTCAGTTTCACATTATGCATGACAGGAAAAGACAATCAAACAGTTAAGCTTTCCTAACTCTTTGGGGGAAAATGTTGTATCTAGAATATCTTAGTGGGCCCATATCAATAAATTTGGCCTGACAGCACTTTGTAATTCTTCATCTCGATCCCTGTATTAGATTCCTGGGGGTGCTATAGCCAAGTACCACACACTGAGTCGCTTAAAACAACAGAAAATTATTCTCTCACAGTTCTGGAGGTTAGATATCTGAAACCAAGTTGTTGGCAGGGTTATGCTTCTTCCAAAGGCTCTTTGGAATAAACTTTCCTTGCCTTTTCCTAGCTCCTACTGGCTCCCAGTATTTCTTGGCTTGTAGCTACATCACTCTAGTCTCTGGTTCCATCTTCACACATCCTTAGTCCTCTGTGTCTATATATCTCGGCATCCTCTCCTCTTATAACGACACCAGTCATTAGATTTAAGGCCCAGTCTATTCCAGCATTACCTCATCTTAACTGATTCAATCTGCAAAGGCCCTATTTCCAAATAAGGTCACATTGAGGTTCCAAGTGGACATGAATTTGGGGGACATTATTCAACCCAATATAATCCTTCAATATCCGGAAGATGTATAATTCACATATTCTTTTATTTGCTCTGATTTTTAAGCATGTGTATTTATTACTATTTCAAATAAAATTAAAGAGAAAAAAACCCATAATTCTTTGCCTTAAAATGCAAATATTCTTTCCATCCAGTTTTCTCCCTTTGGTGCCCGCTACCACTTAGTCTTCCTACGCTGGTCTCCAGGCTTGCCCTTCGCCAGTCTTTCCTCTAACTGCAGACAAAGTGATCTTCCAAAGTAATATCCTTCCTGTCTTTCAGTCGCGATTAAGCACAAGTTCCCTAGTTAGCCCAAGGTGGTTTTCATGACCTGGTTCCCAGCATCCTCCTTCCGTTTCACCCGAGTAGAACCGCCCCCCACCTCTGCCCGCACGAGCGCAGGTTCCCCGGCTGCTGTGCCGGGCCCCCGCCTGCACCCCGGTTCTGCGCCGGGCCCCCGCCTGCACCCCGGTTCTGCGCCTCTTGCTTGACGACGCCCCTTGCACCCCTGCCTGCTGCTCATCTTCAGAGGCTACTCCTGTTCCCTCCCCAGAGATGAAACGTTTCGCCTTCTGATCTTTGACGTCTGTTCATCTTTCCCTTTTGTTCCGGTTCCTCTAAAATGAAATGTTCTACCTGAAAGAATACAGCCCAAGAGCACACACTGCTCTTTGCTCAACTGTCCGGGGAACAGGCTCGCCCTTCCCGCCCTCGCGCCGGGGACGGACCGCAACTGCCAGCCCGCTGACGACACCGACGGCCGAGGTTCTCCAGGCTCGGGCCGGGCGCGACGGGCCGTCGCTCAGGGAAGGCCGGCGTCGCTCGGTCGCCCACCTCCCTCTACGGCCGAGGAGACCGGGTCGGCGCAGGGCGACACCTGGAGGCCCGGAGTGACTGCAAGGTGCGCGAACACGCAGCGCCCTTCACACCTCGAGCCGGTGTCCTCCTGCCGCCCGAGGACGCGGCCGGTTACGCGTCCAGCGTTCCCTCCTCTTAAGCCGCGGGCTG